CTGCAACAGCGGCGGCGGCCATGATCCCCAGGCCCATCAAGCCCGCAGGCAACTGCGCCACCCCACCAGTCAGCAGGCCTGACAAGATCTGTAATGCAGATGGTGCCATAGAGTTACATGCCCCTGTTGGAAGTTTCCTCTCGGTCATACCTACAGCGCTGGGGTTTTGCTACAGTTAATTTGCTACAGTTTGCTACAGTTAATTATCGGCAGCACTAGCTGTGGTGAGCCAAGAGGACATACCGCAGGCAACTGCGCCACCCCACCAGTCAGCAGGCCTGACAAGATCTGTAATGCAGATGGTGCCATAGAGTTACATGCCCCTGTTGGAAGTTTCCTCTCGGTCATACCTACAGCGCTGGGGTTTTGCTACAGTTAATTTGCTACAGTTTGCTACAGTTAATTATCGGCAGCACTAGCTGTGGTGAGCCAAGAGGACATATTTTACCCTATCCTCAAGGAAACCGTTATTAAGGGAGAGAGTAGAGGGTTTAAAACTTATCCTACATGTTAATGGGATAACTGTGAAAACAAAAGAACAGAGGAACGGATAGGCAGGGAACAGCAAAAGGCCATAGATTTTGTGCTTGTGCACGACTTACTAACATTAATAGGGCAGGGAAGAAAAGTGCCAAAGCAACACAACAAGGAAATCAAGCCTGTACAGAGAGGCTGGGCAAGGGGATTGATCAAGGAAAGTTGCAAAGTTGGGTGGAAACCAGTGGTTCAGCTCTTATTTAAAAACTGGGCTGAAGTGTGGCTATAAGTTTGCATGAAAACAAAACAGGATTCATCAGTTAACACTGTTGCTTGAGTCCTCTGGCTATGCTGCGTGGATTCAGTCAGTTTTACCAAAAATGATTAGACCTAGAGCCCTGCAGATCCATGGATATCCGCGGGTACCTGCATCTGCAGATATGAATAGCCACAGCTCATATACAGATGCAAATACAGATGAGGAATAAAGATACAAAAGTGAAGAGGCTTAAATGATGTAGCTCTTGCAGTTACTGGAAACAGAGCTATTTTAGTCAAAGACAAAATAATAAGAGATCATAAATAAAAGGGAGAGAAATGTAATGCAAGAGAGGAAAGAAGGAGAGTGAGTGAAGAGTAGAAAAAGACTCAGATGGTTGTGGAGTACTGTAACTTCCTTAAACATAGTTGCCTACCATCAGAAAGTAGCATCTGTGGTATTTTTAAATATTGTGGTTAATTTTCTATTAGTAAAAACATTCATTCAAATAAGAATTGCACTACAATAAATTATACAAGTGATTGCTTGCCAGACACATACCAGTTTTTGTTCCATTTGTGTGCAAATTCCACAAGCAAGATAAGCTGAATGGCTATAAAAAGGAATCCTCCTGCTGCACCTACATAGCGCCATGCTGCAAGGGAAAAAACATCAATTTCCAATTATATTAAACTTGAGAACCTAGATTAAACTGAGCTTTGTGGTATCAGGGCAGAAGTCTATGAAGGGAAACCATTATACAGCTCATCAAAACACACTTCATTTAACTTTGACTAGAGAGCCTCCTGAAGACCATCTGAAAGACCAATGAAACTTTACATCAGTTTACGACATTTCACAACTTCTCGACCACCCCACTACAAGTTCACTGATGTGAAGAAATCTTGGAGAGAAGAACAGTTACTGTGTCTCAAAACAAACTATTGAAATTTTGGTACATGGTGCAAAAAAGCTGTGGAATCAGTTTACAGGTGTCCTAAGATCTGAAAGTCCCAAGTATAGGAACCTGAGGCTGAAAAGGACTATAAATTTACACAGATTTATCATGTAACAATACGGGGGAACTGACTTATTCACATTTGTTAAAACAGAGTGTTCTGAGATACTCAAAGTGATCACAACCCTCCAGAGTCACCTATTAATGGTGTAAATCAAGACTGGCTGTGAACACCAACATAACAAAATGGTCTTTAGCCACTGCAAAAGTCACATCTGGCTAATTCTTTGACCACTCTAGATAGGAAGTGACAATCTGCATCCTGACCCAGACATTGTGCAAAATGAAAGACTCTTAAGCAAATGTGTGCAGCTGTCATTTGCAGCCATTGTATGTTCTATTGTTTGTAAATGCACATAGCAATACAGGTGTGTAATGGGCATATGGCTCACTTAACATTTTACCCCGAGGCCATAACTATACCATCAGTTATCCTCACTGAACATTAAAAATTGGGAAATGTGCTAGTAAACTTTAACTGTGACCCATGTAGTATTTTGCTAGAGAATTCACTTTTCCTCATAAGAGCTGTGCAATACTGGTGTTAGCTTACATTACTCTTGGCAGAGTTGTATACATTTGTTATACTGGAGCGTTATGGTTTGTAAGACTGAAAGTACATGAACAATGTCATTTGTCAGTTTTATAAGCTACACTGTATTTGTTTAATGAGCATACCGTTCTTTTTTTAAAATGTCAGAAAAGCTTAGTACAAAACTGTAGGTGTGGAATGGGCTGTTTGTGTATGTGAGGGGGAGGGAACATGACTGGTAGATTTTTCACTCCTACTCAAGTGACTAGGTACCTAAAAAGTCAAGCTCCAAATAAGAGCCATATTTCTGACCTGAGCACCTGGCCAGCAGCTGCCACTCTCCGGCCACCCACAGCTCTGAAGGCAAGTCAGAAGTAAGGGTGGCATTACACAACTCCCCCACAATAGACTTGAGGCCCGCTTCTGGTCAGGACTCCCCAATTTGAGAAACAATATGTAATTTACCCTATTATATAAGAGTATAATATAGAGTAAAAGTACACAAGATCAAATTTCAGGGTTTAGGACATGGTTTTCACAGCCATTAATTTAGCAAGGCCTTACATATTTATTTTATGTGTGTGTGTGTGTATATATATATATATATAGTCACATACACACACCCCTCCTGGGAAGGTAGAATGAGCCGCAGAATGTCTGTTTGGAGAGTGGATTGAAGGAACTGCCAAAAAACCTCCCAAAAACATTCTCTGAGTGTCTTAAAAAAAAAAAAAGGACTAGCACGCTGTTTGCTTCCTGGAACACTGGTTTGCACTAAAATCATGAATTCAAACTGGGGAGAGGTATCAGTTCCTTTGTCAGATTACTGAAAATTGCAGAGATACAGTTTTTACACTGACTCAGAAGATGCTTTATCTAGGCTTACACATATTCAAATCAACCGTTCTCCGAGGATCAGTGTAGTGGAAAGGCTCACTGAGGAGGACCTGGAATCACAAATGCCTCCAAATACTATTTTAGAATACTCTCTCTTTCTAGAACCATTGATAGTTAAAGACTAAAGAACTTCAGCCTCATGAAACTAGATCATTCAGGGGATAGGAAGCCCTTCCAGACCATCAAACTGAATGTGGGCCAGGCTAGTAGCAAATTAAAACAAAAACTAAAATAAGCTATTTGCTGGTCTATAGAAAATATGTTTTATGAGGGTGCAGAGCCATGTTCCCTCTAATTATTTACATCCATACAATATGCAGCATGAATTTTGTTATGTGCACCAACATGGAGAAGATGTACAGCTGGGGTGGGACTGAGAGGTTTGGAGTGGAGGGGACTCAGGCCTAGGGCACAGGGCTAAGGTGCAGGGAGTGAGGGCTCTGGCTGAGACCAGGGATGAGGGGCTCTGGATGCAGGGGAGAGACGGGGCAGAGGGTTGGGATGCTGTGGGCTGTGGCTGAAGGTCTGGGGTTCAGGCTACCCCATGGCTGCAGTGGGGAGAGAGGACTGCCCCTCCAGTCTTCTCTCCTCCAGCCACAGCAGCCCTGAGGCTGAGGGAGAGACATCTCTCCCCACCAATCCCCTGCCATCCCTTATTCTCTAACTAACTCTATACTTCTCTCCTCTCCAGGACCCTGTGGCTGTACACCTGTGAAGCTCTTTAGGTGTGCAGCCCTTGATGGCCTCCTGGGTAACCACCTTAGAGAGAGCACAGGTGGGGAGGTTTGAAGATGCCAACACAAAATCTAGCAGATTGCCACTGCTTCCTGTCCCACTGCAATGAAGTTTCTTTTTTAAACAAGGCAACAAGAGGAGGCAGAATCTCAGAAGTCCCATCAGGAGTCACGATTAAGGGAATTGGCACCAGAGCGGCAAATCTGAGACCAGCACAAGAGACACCACTGAAAATAAGTCCTGTGTGTGCTGTTAGTGAACCCACGAGTCCAAGTGTATGGATGCTGAACTAATCCAATCTCTCTCACCTTCCCTAAAATTAATCTAAAAGGCTGAAGGGGAAGATTTTTCATAATTACTTACGGGATTTAGAAGCATAAATCCCCCAGAATGTCAGTGGGACTTTTTACTCCCAACTCCCTAAAGTATTTCTGACATTTGCACACGGTTGAGAAAAAAAAAAACATTCTCAAAGACCAGTTAGTGACAATAACTGCCGCCAATTTATATTCCCAACTAGCAAAACCAGTTTCAAGCACCACAAGAAAATACAGGATCCACAATAAATAATTAGCAATACAGCCTCTCAGTAAGAAATCTAGTTATATATAACTAGATGTAAGCAATTTAGAAACTAAACAAATTACAAGAGCCTTTATCTCATTACAGTCTGTCACTGTTTGTGTTCAAGAGAGGATTCCAGTGTGTTTTGTGTGTTACGTGGCTTATGATCAGAACAAACTCTCTCAGTTGCAAGTAATGGTATGGGGCTGATTATGACAGACCTAATTATACAGACAAGGTGGACGGGGTAATCTCTTCTATTGGACCAACTTCTGTTAACATATCTATTACCTCACCCACTTTGCCTCTACATAAAGACTGCATAAAGCTAATTATGTCAGCCAGAAAAAAAACCCAACACTTTTCTGTACATTCTTAATGACTAATTTCCTTTGCACTCATTATGGCTCTGTACTTCTAAATCCAAAAGCTTGCAAGGCAGCAAAGTTTGATTTTTTGTTCACACACTTACTCTGTGCATGTGTATATAACATGATGAAAACAGTCTCAACTACATATACAAAACTAAGGAGGAAGCCAACTACATCTGTGCTTTATTGGAACAAGGAATACCAATCTGCTTCCCCATTAAGATTACAGACACTTATACAAGTGAAATGAGCATAAAGAAAGAAAACTGTACCATTGAGGAAGGTGTCTTGATCTGGAATGAAGAACGCTCCTGAGCACATGGCTGCCAAAACGAAAAACTTAATGAACCAGAACCTGGAAGACAAAACTAAAATGGAATCATCTATTTATAAAAGAAATTAAAAGTATTCAGCCTGAGTTCTGTTTCATAGCATAGCTGTGCCTTAAGTGTTGATTTTGAAATACCGCATGGAAATCTAGCACTGCACAGGGATTTATTGCTTGATTTTAGGGGAAATGGGCAAAGAAACTAAAACTTACCCATTGTGAATATATGCTCTGCAGCTTTTGCTGTTGTTAATTTTGATGGTGAGTAAGAAGAAGATAAAGAAGAAAGATGCCATTCCAAAACAGACCCTGTAAACTGCAGAGTATCCCACTAGCTTCTGACATGTTTCACCTGCCTGAATACCTTTGCAGATGTGCTCATAAAAAGGAATCTGAAAGACACACACAATTAGAAATAATTAAACATGACACAAGATCTGCCATAATCAAGCAGATTACATTCATATAATTTACATGTATACAACTGACTTAAAAATAGCTAATTGGATGTTTTTCATAATTTATGGTTCCGAGTCACAAACATCAGTCTGGACTCACAATTAACAACTACTGAACTCCTGTTAAATGCCTCAGTACGGGGTGGAAGGGAACAATCCCCTTCTCCCCCATTGGCTCCATAACTCTTTTAAAAATAAATTACCAGAAAGACAGGAAAATTCCATCCCCTTTCCCACTTGTTAAATATTTGCCTTGGAGGCCTTTCCCTAACTCTTAGAAAGAGAGAAAACAAACAGCTGCCCATTCTGGCCTCAGAGGCTCACCACACTAAAATGATACTGAATACTCCAGAATGGCCTCCTAAAAAGCAAGTTTCTGTGACTTTTATCCATTTATGTGCAGTGCTTCTATATGCAGACTTGACCTCAGCCCTCTTACCCTACAACTAGGACAGACCACAAACAGAAGGATTTAACGACTGAAGCACCATTAATTTCAAGAAAACTAAACTCTCTCTCTATTCTCAGAGCAACCAACCCGAACTGATGACACTTATAGACCAATACACCATGGCTACGTATATACTGCACTCCCTTGTGCAAGAGAATATGCAAATGAGGCAAAGCAGTGAATATTGCCACACCTCATTTGCATACTTAATGAGCTGCCATTTTGTGTAAGGAGCTTTTGCAGAAAAAGGAGCTGTCTACATTGCTCTTTTTTGAACAAACCCCCCCTCTTGCACAAGGTGCTTTTTTTCCAGGCAGAACAGCTCTTGCGCAAGAGGGGGAGTTTTGCGCAAAAAGGAGCGGTGTAGATTTGCACAAAAGCCCCTTGCGGAAAAATGGCGGCTCATTTTAAGTATGCAAATGAGGCATGGCAATATTTACCGCTTCACCTCATTTGCATATGCTCTTGCTCAAGAGGGGACAGTCTAGATGTAGCCCATGAGATGAGTGGAGATCACTAGTTCATCTTTCTTACATGAACAAGAGGCTGCTGCACACCATGTTTAGGCCTGGAAAATGACTGCTTCAAAGATTTAGAGGAACAAAATGGAAAAAAAAATCCAGCGGTTGTTCAGCTAGGATAATCTCAAGAAAGAAAAAACGAGTCTGGGAAGCACACTGAGTTTGAAGAGAATACCCAATATAGAGGAGACACAGTGCAGCTCCAAGAAAGGAAGAATGCTGGTTTTCCGCTTGTCCCAGACAACAGCTCGATAAGCAAAACAGAAAGGGTCAAAGAGCAGATGGCTAGAAGACCTGGTGATCAGATTTAAGGCCTACTGTAACTCCTAAGAGATTTTCACCTCCAACCCTCTGCAACAATCTGCATGCTGTTTTCCAGTGTCGTTGCATAACCTGCTTTTTGAATCTTCATCTGGTATCTGTCCCACAATCGGTTTTTCCTTTGACTGCCCCACTGTTCTGTCCACATGACATGATTTGCCACACATTTAAAACACGACATAATTAGTTTTGCCAGCCATTTGACAATTTGCCACTAATTTGATTCTCTGAAATCCTGATTAACCTTATTCTCAAGGCTTAAAAAGTTGCCCGACTTCTAGCAAACATAAAAAAACCCTTGTGCTGCCACCTCTCATTAAATAACCATACCCCATCAAAGTCAGAACCCCTGCAATAGCAAATAAAACAGCTCACCGTTAGTGCTTGCTGTACACTTGATCCAATTTACATTATTAAATATAAAGTTGTTTCACAGTGTTTTAAGATGCAACATATTAGAACTGATCATATAACAAAAAAATATGAAATGTTAGTTGCACTGGTATTAATCTAGCAATATATTGGGAAAAAATAACATTTAACTAGTTTTATAGCTAGCTGTAAAAAAAAGTGTCAAATAAAAGCTGATGAAAAATAGTAAAATAAATAATACTATGTTTATCATGTGCCATTTAACCAAGGCTACTCAGCACATTCCAAGCTTTTGTTTTATATTCTTTCACTTGCACTCTTCACAACTTCGTCTTCCCTATAATAGCTTGGGGGGCTAAGGAGAAGGTGGGGAGGAGAAATGCACCATGATCTGCCTTTAGTGTGTTAAACACCACCATATCAACACTACCACTTCTTTCCCCCCTTTCTTTCATTGTCTTCTCTGTCTGGTCCCATACAATTTGGTTTGCCTTTTTTAAGCCAAATTATTTTATTTGTGGGCAAATAGGCATACAGAAAAGAAAAAAAATATATGTGCAAAGAACAAATCGTGTCACCAACCCGAACTGATGACACTTATAGACCAATACACCATGGCTACGTATATACTGCACTCCCTTGTGCAAGAGAATATGCAAATGAGGCAAAGCAGTGAATATTGCCACACCTCATTTGCATACTTAATGAGCTGCCATTTTGTGTAAGGAGCTTTTGCAGAAAAAGGAGCTGTCTACATTGCTCTTTTTTGAACAAACCCCCCCTCTTGCACAAGGTGCTTTTTTTCCAGGCAGAACAGCTCTTGCGCAAGAGGGGGAGTTTTGCGCAAAAAGGAGCGGTGTAGATTTGCACAAAAGCCCCTTGCGGAAAAATGGCGGCTCATTTTAAGTATGCAAATGAGGCATGGCAATATTTACCGCTTCACCTCATTTGCATATGCTCTTGCTCAAGAGGGGACAGTCTAGATGTAGCCCATGAGATGAGTGGAGATCACTAGTTCATCTTTCTTACATGAACAAGAGGCTGCTGCACACCATGTTTAGGCCTGGAAAATGACTGCTTCAAAGATTTAGAGGAACAAAATGGAAAAAAAAATCCAGCGGTTGTTCAGCTAGGATAATCTCAAGAAAGAAAAAACGAGTCTGGGAAGCACACTGAGTTTGAAGAGAATACCCAATATAGAGGAGACACAGTGCAGCTCCAAGAAAGGAAGAATGCTGGTTTTCCGCTTGTCCCAGACAACAGCTCGATAAGCAAAACAGAAAGGGTCAAAGAGCAGATGGCTAGAAGACCTGGTGATCAGATTTAAGGCCTACTGTAACTCCTAAGAGATTTTCACCTCCAACCCTCTGCAACAATCTGCATGCTGTTTTCCAGTGTCGTTGCATAACCTGCTTTTTGAATCTTCATCTGGTATCTGTCCCACAATCGGTTTTTCCTTTGACTGCCCCACTGTTCTGTCCACATGACATGATTTGCCACACATTTAAAACACGACATAATTAGTTTTGCCAGCCATTTGACAATTTGCCACTAATTTGATTCTCTGAAATCCTGATTAACCTTATTCTCAAGGCTTAAAAAGTTGCCCGACTTCTAGCAAACATAAAAAAACCCTTGTGCTGCCACCTCTCATTAAATAACCATACCCCATCAAAGTCAGAACCCCTGCAATAGCAAATAAAACAGCTCACCGTTAGTGCTTGCTGTACACTTGATCCAATTTACATTATTAAATATAAAGTTGTTTCACAGTGTTTTAAGATGCAACATATTAGAACTGATCATATAACAAAAAAATATGAAATGTTAGTTGCACTGGTATTAATCTAGCAATATATTGGGAAAAAATAACATTTAACTAGTTTTATAGCTAGCTGTAAAAAAAAGTGTCAAATAAAAGCTGATGAAAAATAGTAAAATAAATAATACTATGTTTATCATGTGCCATTTAACCAAGGCTACTCAGCACATTCCAAGCTTTTGTTTTATATTCTTTCACTTGCACTCTTCACAACTTCGTCTTCCCTATAATAGCTTGGGGGGCTAAGGAGAAGGTGGGGAGGAGAAATGCACCATGATCTGCCTTTAGTGTGTTAAACACCACCATATCAACACTACCACTTCTTTCCCCCCTTTCTTTCATTGTCTTCTCTGTCTGGTCCCATACAATTTGGTTTGCCTTTTTTAAGCCAAATTATTTTATTTGTGGGCAAATAGGCATACAGAAAAGAAAAAAAATATATGTGCAAAGAACAAATCGTGTCAAATCAACTGGATAGCTTTGACAGGATAACAAGCCTTTGATAGGATAACAAGTGACAGATGTGGTCATTCGATAACAGTCTTGCTTGAATTTCTCATTAATAAACTAGAAAAAAAAACCCCTAGATGGAGCTACTATAAGGTGAGTGCATAACTGGTTGGATAACCATTCCCAGAGGGTAATTATCAATAGTTCAAAATGGTATCAAATGGCCCTCTGATAAAAAGGCAGCAGTAGGGGAAGGGGGAGGGTGATGGGTGTTATCATGAAGATTAACTGATGAGCCCAGGCTCATTTGTTAAGCATTTATACTATCACATCCCTACATTTAACGAGTTAACCAATTAAACAGGATTTTACATCCCTATTAGAAGGGCATGACAAGTCCATTTCCACAGGGATCAGTTTTGGGACTGGTTCTGTTCAATATGTTCAGAGTAATTTAGATAATGGCTGAAAGAGTATGCTTATACATTTTTGGATGACATCAAGTTTTGGGAGGGGTTGCAAGTGCTTTGGAGGACAGGTTTGTACAGTAATTCCTCATTTAACATTATAGATATGTTTCTGAAATGTTTGTGCTAAGTGAAAACATGCTATACGGGGTCAATTTTCTTATTAAAAATAATGGAAAAGGTGGGGGTTGCGTTTCAGGTGGTGGTGGCAGTCAATTTTTTGTTGGTACGCAGTCATCAACGTCGACATTAGATATCTAGCAACACAAGTCACCGCGGTTTGTTAAAACACAAAAATAAACATGTGAGTGAGTGGAGGAGCTCTGTACCACATGTATTCATCTGCTCATGTGTATTAGCACTGTTTTCACTAACTTATACCACTGCACGAAGTAGTCCGCCACTTGATATTTTCATATTATTTCAGGGACGGTCGTGTTATTCGAAAAAAGTTCCCCAAAAAATCATGCTATTGCAAAAACGTGTTAAGAGGGCACGTGTTAAATGAGTAATTACTGTAATTCAATCTG